TTGTTAAGGATGTTGTCTTTTCTCCATTGTGTATTTTTAGCATCTTTGTCAAAAATCAAGTGACTGTAAAATTATATGTAGAATTATTGGGTCCTCAATTCTATTCCATCTATTTCTGTGCCAGTGCCATACTGTTTTTGTGACTATGGCTCAGTGGTATAGTTTGAAATCAGGCATGACACCTCCTGCAGTATTCTTTTTGTTTGGGTTGTTTTGGATATTCTTGGTCCTTTGTTCTTCCAAATACATTTTAATTGTTTTTCTATGTGAAGAATGGATTTTTGTTGTTGTTTGTTTGTTTTGGAGACAGGATTTTTCTTTGTAGCCCTGGCTGTCCAGGAACTCGCAGAGATCCCCCCAAGTGCTAGGATTAAAGACATGTGCCACCATGCCTGGCAGACTTTTTTTTTTTAAAAAAAAAATAAGGTTGTGATCTCCTATTTTTCAGGACTCAGCCACCTGAGTCCACATCTATTAAACCTGCTATTTAACTTAAAATCAAAATTTAAATATTCAGAATTTGGCCCATGCCTTTAATCTCAGCACTTGGGAGGCAAGGCAGACAGATCTCTGAGTTCGAGGCCAGCCTGGTCTATGGATCTAGTTCCTGGACAGCCAGAGCTACAGATAAACTGTCTTGAAAAGGCAAAATAAAAGAAAGAAAGAAAGGAAGGAAGAAAGGAAGGAAGGAAGGAAGAAAAAAAGAAAAGTAGAATTAATTGAAATGTTTTTTGTCTCTCCCCTCAACACACAATCTCACCCCCTGCCAAAAAAAATCTGCACTGTACAAAAAAAAAAAAAAAAAAAAAAAAAAAAAAAAAAAAAGGAAACCAGGATGGCCTGAACTCATAGAAATCTACTTGCCTCTGTCTCCCCAGTGCTGGGATTAAAGGTATGAGTCACCTCATCTGGCTAAAAACAGCTAAAGGGCTTTATTGTATGTTTAAGAGTTAGCAACTGACCTCATCACCCAACTGAGTCACAGGCACAGGCTCTCCAGGATTTTCATCATGAAGGAATGTTGAATTTTGTAAAGGGCCTTTTCTTGTCTACTGAAATGATCATGTGATTCCTGTCTTTGACTATATATATATGAATTACACTTATTGATATAAGTATGTTGAATCATGCCAGCATGTTTGCAATGAAGTCAATTGAATTATGATGAATAATCTTTTTGATGTTATTTGAATTAGGTTTCCAAGTGGTTTTTTTTTGAGACTTTATATCTATATTCATCAGGAAAACTGACACACAATTTTATTCATATTTTTCCTTATTTGGTTTTGGTATCAGGGAAATACTGGCTTCATACAGAAGACTGGAAGAACTCCTTCCTTTTCTGTTTTATAGAATAATTTGATTCTTCTTTGAAGGCCAGTGAATCTCTCTGGTCCAGTTTTTTTTTTTTTTTTTTTAAGGTGGCATTTAAAAAAAATTGTTGCTTCAAATACATTGTTATAGATCTGTTTAAATCATTTATTTAATCGTGGTTTAATTGTCAAAGGTCTTATATGCATCCAGACTTAAAAGTAGTAGATGAGGAAAAATAATTCAGGGTAGACATTAATGAAGTAGAAATGAAACAACAAACCACAAAACACAAATAATCAATAAAATGGACAGTTCTTTGCCAAAATAACCAAAAAGAAAGAGGAAGACTCAAATCAACAAAATTAGAATTGAAAAGGGAAATATTGCAATACATGTCAATGAAACTCAGAAAATCATAAGTGTATAAACATCTATATTCCACTAAACTGGAAAATCTAAAAAAAAAATGGACTAATTTCTGTATGCATATAACAAAACAAAAAGTTGGGAGGGAAATACATTGGGGAAGACCCTAAGGGCAGTAGAGGGAGCAGGGGACAGGTATGATTGAGATATGTTTTATACATGTATGACATTTTGGAGAGAATGAATAAATAAATAAGGAAATAAATACATGATTTTTTAAAAGAACGAGAATGTGTTCAATTTGGAAATAAGGGTACTCTACAGTAAATAACTTCAATGGATGTGACAAGAAAACACAACTCTAATCTGGCTCCGAACAAGCCTTTTACATCCAGTAGATAGTGCAGTAAAAATCGCTGTGCGGGGCGCGAGGGATGGTTCAGTGGTTAGGAGCGTGTACTGCTCTTCCAGAGGACCTGCATTCGCTTCCTAGCACCCTCCTCAGGCGGATGACAACTGCCTGGAACTCCTGCTCCGGGATCTGGCCTCTGAGGGCACCTGCATGTATGTGGCAAGCACACACACACACACACACACACACACAGAGAGAGAGAGAGAGAGACAGAGAGAGACAGAGACAGAGAGAGAGACAGAGAGAGAGACAGAGAGAGACAAAGACAAAGAGAAAGAGAGAGAGACAGAGAGAGAGGGGGAGAGAGAGAGAGAGAGAGAGAGAGAG